AAACTGTATTATAATATAAAAATATGTGTCTATAAATGGTAAATATTTTATACTCTAAAAAATATTAGCTCAAAAATATTTATAAAAAAGCGGAATACAGTATTCTATATAAGGGGGGTTAAAATTTTTGAAATTTTCGCATAGAAAAAGAAAGATGGGTGAAAAATTGGAACCATTCCAACATGCTTTTAAAAAAACATCAAGAGCTACAAAATTTCAGACAATTGGAATGACTTTCATAAAAGACGAAAGGTATAATATCTAATTTCAAGGCGGAATATAAAACTTTTAATATAGCAAAATATTTATTAAAAAAAGCCCAATATGACTAATCGCTAAAAAAAAACTATTATAATTTATCAACAGGCCTCGGATCGACTTTAAGGCCCCAGAAAAAAATCGGTTTAGTCGATTGAAGATTTACCAAAAAAAACTGTAAAAGTCGTTTTGTCACAAAAGTTTCATTTTTTATTTCCCGCCTTCATTCATTTTTACATTTAATAATTAAATGCATATTCAAAAAATTTTACAATATGCAAATGTTTGAATATTTTAAAGTGTTAAATGTTAAATAAAAATGTTTAAAAACTTGTTTTATTCAGTATTCAACAGGAATTTAAATTTTTCAAACTTCAACTTCAAATAATCTGAAATTTAATTATTTCTAAAAAATAAAACTGAAATTCGTCAAAAATCTTATTATTTTCAATAATTTTTAAATAAACTTCTTCTCAAAAGCAATTATTTTCAATAATTATCCAAAAGTTTATCGAGAATTCAATTATTTAAATACAAAAGTTAAAATTTTTGCTATTTGTAAATCGAACTCTTAATAATTTCTTTTTAATGTTATAAAGATGAATTATTGCAAAAAATTAAACAAAAATAATAAAAATAATCAAATTTTTATAAAAAATCAATTTTAAGAAAATATAAAAAAAAATTCTTAAAATTAGTTTTTTAATCAAATTTTAAAATAATTTTTGAATGATAATAAATTTTTTTAATATATAAATTTACAAAATAAATTAAATTAAATAAAAAAATTTTCTAATAATTGAAATTTAAAACAATTTTCTGACAATAATTGAATGTTTTAAAAGAATTTTCAGAAAAAAATGAAAAATAATATGTAAAGTTTTTAAAGAATTTTAATTACAAATATAAAAATTCAGGATTTTTTTATTTGATGACAAATATAAATTGAGTAAATTTTTAAAAAAATTTCAATTTATTTTTTTGTTTGATAATAATTGAATTTTAAAAAATTATGACAAAAAAATTCTAAGAACTAATTTTTTAAAAATACCATAATTGAATTTTTCAAAAATAATTGAATTTGTTTAAAGAAATTTTGAATAATTTAGAAAACTAATTAATTTCTTGAAAAATTTTTATTCAGAATTTAAAAATAGTATTTATTTACTTTAAAATTTTTATAATTCTAAACAAAAAGATTTTTTAAACAATTTTAATGTAATTATTTTTTTAAATAATTGAATTTTCGGAAATATGTAATTGAAAATAAGGAAAATAATTGAATTTTAAAAAATTACAACAAAAGAATTTTGAGAAATATTTTTTTTTTAAATAATTTCTAAATATCCTTTTTTTGAAGCAAATTTTCATTTTGATTCTTCATTAAAATTTTTGAAAATTCAATTATTTCTGAAATTTTCAAATTAGAATTTTTCAAAATTGAATTTTTAAATATTTTAATGGAATTCTTACAAAAATTTTCAATAAAATTTAAGTAAATTTCAATTATTTAAAAACTTTTTATTTCCATATTTCGAAAATTTAATCATCTTAGAAAAATTAATTAAAAATAAATGTAATTTTTGACTAATAATAAATAATTTTTTTTACAATATAAAAATCAAAAAAATTTACATTTCATAAAAAAAAAAAATGGTATTTAGTTGCAATAAGAAGAGTAAAAAAAGTCGCATTTTTGAAAATAAGCCGAGAGAACTCGTCATTTTGGAAAATAGCCGGAATATTCGTCTATAATTATTTCCCACACTTTAAAAATCGAAATAATTTGCATTTTATACCAGAAAAGTGATATTTTATTGCAATATTCGAAAAAGTCACAAATTTTGAAAATAAATCGGAAAAAGTCATCTATTCCGAAAATGGACGAAAAAAGTCGAAATATCCAAGGCCTGTATTAATTTAACTCACAAGAAAAACTTTCCTAAAAAAAAAGATAAAAGCAAAGCGAAGGATAATATTCACAAAACACTGATTTTTCCTCCTTTTTAATACTTTAGAAGAAAAAATTGTCTAGCAATTCAAACAAAATTGACATATCTTACGATAAACTTTCCTAAAGAAAATGAGTTTTCAAACTTGTTCTTTTTTTTGTCTTGGCCTGCCTCATGTCTACATATATGAAAGATTCTCAACTTTATACTCTTCTCTCGTCCCAAAAATAGGTTTTAAAGCTTTCACGTATACAAGAAGTTGCTTACTTAATAATTTTTATTCTCTATTTTTTTTTTGCTTCTTTTCCATGAAATAAATAAAATAATAAACACGATCGAGAAAAAGAAAATAATAAACAAATTAAATTTTCGAAAGTGGTTAAGTGGAAAAAAACTTTTTTGATTTATTCTTTCACGCGAAATGAGTTTGTGGATAATTTATCATTTTCGAGACAGTTTCGCCTGGAATTTCTTCTCTGGATACATAAATAACAAATTCAATTAACTCTCTTTTTTTGTTTAAAAAACAATTATGCTTTACTTTTTTTCTTTATCATTATTATCAACAGAATGAAAAAAAATTTTTCTTCTTTTTTTTACTAAATCTCAAGGATCATTGACAGACTAAAAACAGGTCAGAGAACATTCTACTTATCAAAAATCAATGTACAAGTACTGTTCTCCAACTCTTTTCTATTTTTTTCTCATATTTCTATTTTCAATTTCACCATTTGTATTTTAAAATATTTTTCTTCCTGATTTAATATTTTTACGATAGTTTCTAATAAAAAGGGAATTATTTTAATCAACACTTTTTTGCCTTTATGGTAAAGAAATGTTTTCCAAAATGTTATGCCAGCTTTAAAATTGATTTCTATCTCTATTTTTATCTATTGTTAATTTTCCCACATTTCTATTGTTGTACTTTTGATTTAAAGGAAATATTCTCTTTTGTTAATGTTCGTAATTAAAAAATTCCGAGATTTTAATTAATAAATATATTATAATAATAAATAAATAATAATGTACGAAAGGGCTTCAAGCCCGTTAAAAATTGAAAATAAAATAAAATAAATAAATAGAAATAAATTTTTAATTAATTTTTAATTTACACTTTTTTCTCGAGATAACATTGCAATTTATTTTTAGAATTCACTTTAAAAGAAATGTAAATATTAACGTTGATTTGAAAGTTAATGCAACTCTTAATTTAAAAGTTCATTTTAAAAGAATCTTCAAGTAAATTGCAAACTGCATTGTAAAGCAAGTTGTAAGCGACTTTTCAAGTAAATATGAAAAGAACGTTTCCGTAACACAATATAAAAGAAACTAAAAACGAATACAAAAAATTTAATATTAAAACAACATAAAAAATAATTAATAAATTTTTTTCTCACCCTGTTCAATATTTTACAAAAAGACAAAACAACTTTTTTCAAATCTTTCCACGCTTTCAAAAATTAAACAACTGACAATTTTTTTTTGCACCTAAATTAAAAAAAACTGACTGTAAATTTTTCTAATAAAATTGCACTTTTAATTTCAATATTTTTATCTTGAATAAGCGAAATAAAGTAGAATAAAAAATTTCTATCTCAATTGTTTCGCAGTAAAAAAAAGCGATCAATCTAAAGAGAAAAAAGCAAACAAGATAATTTTTGTGAAAAAAAATCCTAATTATCCACTTTGCACTATTTGGTTAAAAATAAAAAAGGAGACAATCTTTTTTGTTTTAAAAAGATGAAAGAAGAAAAAAATTCCGCAACTAAAATTGCAAATTTCTTATCGACTTTTCTCGGTTCGTCTTTGAAGCCTTTCACCCGGCGTGAGAACTTGTTGTCTCGAGTAGTTCGCGGCTTTTCTCACAGTTCCATGTATATATACATTCAAATATATATATATATACATACATGCGGACCGAAAATTTAATCCGAGTACAAAAGAAAAGAAAAGATGAAGAAGAAAAGGAAAAAAAAGAAATGTGATAGCAGAGGGGTAGTTTTACCACGGAAATCTACCGAATGACTGAAGACTCGCAATCGTGCGCCTTTAATTTAGAGGCACCAGAAACGCCCTCGACCTCGCACCAACAAGAAGCTCTCTATATATACAATACACACGTATGTGCAGTAAATACAAAAGTCCAAAACTTAAATATACAGGTACAACACACCCTGAGAGGACAAAACACAAGTTGGTGTTGTGTAATTGTCTAAAAAAGAAGTAATATTTATGCCGAGATAAGTGCGGAATGCTAAAAGTCTCCCGACTTTTTTTTTTAACCAAGTCCAAAAAATACGTTGACAGTTCAAATCGATTCTCTCCCAAAAGCCTAAAAAAAAATCGAAGACTAATAAAAATTGCAAAAATAGAATTTTTTTTATGATCACACAGCAATTTAGTTACGGTAACTCTCGCTTCACTTTTTCCGATCCTATTACTTTCCATCCATATAGTTTGGAAATGTAAATTTTATATCCACTATCTAAAGAAAATGATAGAGGAAAAAAATTTAGTGTAACCTGAATTTTTCACGAGTTTAGATAGTACCAAGTTTTTTAATTATGTAAACATCTCTCGAGACTTGCCCTAATTCTCCCCCCCCCCAAAAAAAACATTCCGAACAAATTTTTTTTTTAGATGCATTATCGAAAAAAGATAAACTGCAAAAGCTTAAATGAAATCTACGAAAAAAGGCGAGTGTTTACGAGACAAAAGCTTAGAGAAAGTATAAAAAAAAGCATTTTATTAAATTAGATTAAAAGAAGAAAGCTCTTTTTTTTCTCTCACCCATTTCGTCGATAATGGGCCCCATACGAAGAGTAATTCCCACCAGGAGCAGGGACATGGCAAGCAAAAGGCAAGCAGTAGCGACGATGGTCATTCGTGCTCTTGGCGGCAATTCATCGGGATCCGTTTCTATCACAATTTCTGGTTCAATTTTCTTCTGTCGTCGTCGTCGTTTTCGTTTTTTACGCGGACGATGAAATTGCTCCATTGGTTTATTCACTTTCTCCGGATTACTCAATGTTTCATTGTCATCTAATTCATCCTCAAGATTGAGCGCCAGAAAATCATCATCTTCGTCATAGTCAAGTTTCCTGTTTGCGAAGAAGAAAAGACAGAAAATTAATAAATGTAAAATCGAAAATTTATAAAATTATTAAAATTTTTTACCAAATTAAAAAATTAATAATTTTTTATAAATACGCGGAACTTTGATATGCGGAATACTGTATTCTGCATTATTACAATATTTATTTATTACTCAATCAGGATTGACATAAAAATTTAATTTTCTTTTTCCCTGATAGATAGATTGTATATTATATTATTATGTTATAATTATTTTTATTTTACAATTAATTCAAAATTGTAATGACAAATAGAAATCATCAGAATTTTTTTCAGTTCTTTTCATTAAAAGACTAAAATTTTGTTAAATATTATGTTTTGTTAAATTGAAATTATGAAGATTTTTGTTCTGTACTTATAAACAAATTAGAAAATTGTTAAACAACTGTGATTAAGGAATAGAAAATTTATTTATTTTGCATTATTTTTGTTTATGAATCACAATTTTTTTAACAAAATTATTATTTTGTTTTAGAAAAAGAAGAAAAATATTTGCACAATTTCTATTTTTAATCTTATTTTTGGAATAGGATTTTCCACAGGAATTAAGAAATTCAAAAATTTCAAATTCAAACCTTTTTTTAAATTAAACAACCTATAAAAGTATTGTTATAAAACATGAAGATATTTTTTTTAAATAATTGAATTCTTTTTGGGAAATTTTATTAAAATTTTTTTTAAATAATTGAATTCTTTTTGGGAAATTTTATTAAATTTTTTTTTAAATAATTGAATTCTTTTTGGGAAATTTCATTAAAATATTAGATATTGAAAATCATTGAAATTAGAAAAAATTTTTCAAATGATTGAAATTAGGACAAGAATTTTTTTTGACATTTATGAAAATAATTGAACTTTAGAGAAGAATTTTGTTATTTATAAAGATGATTGGGATTTTTACGAGAATTTTTTTCAAATTTTGAACATAGTTGAATTTTATGAGAAGAATTTTATTTTCTTTTGAAAATAATTGAATTTCTGCAATTATTTATAATTTCTCTAAAATTGAATTTTTTTTAGTGTTTTCAAGAAAAATTTAAATTAGAAAATTTTTGAAAAAGTTCTTTGAGAATTTTTTAATTAATTTGTTTACAATTCAATTTTACAAAATTTCGATTATTAGGAAATTCTAATTTTTCAATTAAATATATATTAGAAAATAAAAACTTCAAATAGTTTCAAAAAAATTCAATAAAATTTTTTCAAAAAAATTACTTCTATATAAAATTAATAATTAAAATTATGAAACCTTTAAAAATTTAATTATTTATAAAAATTCACTCTTTAAAGGTTTTTAATATTCAATTATTATTATCTAAAATTTTAACTGAAATTCATTTTTAAATAAATTTTATTCGTAAATTCTACGAGAATTCAATATTCTTTAAATATGAAAATCAATAATTTATTGAATAATTGAATGTTCCTCAAAAAATTGAATTTTATTAAAAAAAATTTTAAACATTAAATTCTTTTGACGAATTTTAATACAATTTTTAAGAATAATTTTATTTTTCTTGAAATTCGATTAAAATTGTATTAAAAATAATTGAATCCTGTAAAAAATTTGATTTTTCTTAAATACTTGAATTATTGCAAAGAAATTTATGAAAAATTTGTAAAGAATTGAATTTCCGTGAAATTTTTATTACTTATCACAGTTTATGTAAATAATTAAACGGTTGCGTAGAATTTTTTTACTTTTGAAAATAATTGAATTTCTGTAATTATTTGTAACTTCTCCAAAATTCAATTTTTTGGGGTTTTTTTTAACTAAAATTCTTCTATAAATCTTATTTTTAATAACTAATTCAGTATCTATATGTATTAAATAATTTAACTAATTTCAGAAAAATTTGAATTATTAAAATTTTTCAAAAATTTAAGTTCTTTAAAATTTCTAATAAAATTTATGAGTAATAATTTTATATAATAGTTCTGCAAGAAATGCAGAATAAAATTATTAATAATAATAATAAAGTTAGTAAAATTAGTCAAGAATTGATAAATTATGTATAATCAAAAACTAATAAAATTGATCAAAATTAATAAAATTAATCCAAAATTAATCAAGATTAGTAAAATTAATCAAAAATTTATCAAATTAAACAAAATTAATAAAAAATTAAAAAGTAAATCGAAAAATATTTTATCAAAAAATTAATTTTAATTTCCAGAATGATTTTTCTCTCGATTTTCCAAGAAAGAAATTCAAAATCTTGGCCTATATCCAAACACGAATAATATTTCATTTAAATTCACTGCGTGCATAAACTCAAAAGTGAAACGACACAAATTTTAATCTGACAAGCATTTAAAATTCAACTCACCTATAACTTTTATCACCCAAAAGGAATATGTCGAAATTTTAAAACAAACATTTTTCAAATTGATTTCATCTCTCTGTTTTTCTCTCTGCAAGTGCATCGCAAAAAAATTCAATTTCACTTTTAATTGAGTTTACTAATAAAAAAAAACAGTTTCCACCAAAAGACATTTTTTTTTATTAAAATAACTAAAACTTAAGATTCTTTTTTATACTATTCAGATACTAGAAATGTGCAATCAAATATGCAGGAAAAAAATTTTTGAAAATATCAAAAATATTTTGTATTCTTTTAAAACAAAAAGTGATGAAAAATAAATGAAAAATTTCTTTTTCATTTCATTTTATATGAAATATCAAATAAAATTTAAAATCAAAATGAAAAGTGAAGAAAAATTAAACGAATATTATTCGAGATATTCTGTCCTCCGAAGTTTTAAAAAAATATCAAATTCTTTCTCAAATTAAAAAAAAATCCATAAGTAGAGTTACAATTGAAATTTTTAGAAATAATTAAATTCTCGTGCAACTTTTTAATAAGAATTGATTTGCAAAAGAATTTCAGTTAAAATTTTAGAAAATATTTTTTTAAGAATTGGAAAAATTGCAGTTCTAATTTTTAGAAATAATTAAATTTCAAATGTTTTACATTGAAAGTATTTTAAAATTTTAATTCCTGGTGATGAAGTAAATAACAATAAGTATTCAAATATTTACTTAACAAAGATAAATGAAATTTGAAAAATTATATTTAGAAATTCTAAAAAATGAGGTTTTTGGAAAATAGTTATTAAAATCTTTTGAAAATACTTGAATTCCCGAAAAACTTTTAAAATAAAAAATTTTCTCAAATTTTATTAAAATAAATTTTATAATTCAAAGAATTTTCTTTTCTAACTTTAAAAAAATAGTTTTAAATATTATTGTATTTTTTTGGAGAATTGTAACTAAAAGTTTGGAAAATAATTAAATTTTACAAAATATTATTTAAATAATTTAATAATCTTTTTGACTTCTAATAAGAATTGATTTAAAAAACTATTTTATAGTTAAAATTTTGAAAAATAATTAAATATTAGAAGCGTTATAACAGGAATTTTAAAAAATAATAATTATTTTCCTTCAAAAATTATTAAAGTTTTGAATAATTTTATTCAAAAATTCTAAAAAATAATTTACTTTTGAAAAGTTGCAGTTAGAATTTTTAAACATAATTAAATTTCATAAGGTTTTACATTGTAATTATTTGAAATTTTAATAATAATAAATAAAAATAAGTTTTTAAATATTTGTTTAACAAAAATGATTGAAGTTTTGAACAATTTAATGTAGAAATTCTGAGAAAATAAGGTTTTCGAATAATTGTAATCAAAATTTTGTTGGAAAATAATTGAATTCCCGAAAATAATTTAATGAAACAATTAAAAGTTTTGTCAAATTTTATTGAAATAAATTTTACATTTGAAAGAATTTAATTTTATTACTTTTGAAAATTATTTTAAAAAATAATATTGTATTTTTGAAGAATTGTATTTCGATAAATTACATGTTTTAAAAAATAATAAATTTGCATCAAATTTAAAAAAATAAGTTTTTCTAACCAACAATTAATTTGAAAATTTTCTATAGCAATTATTAATTTAATGAATATTAAATTCCATAAACTTAAAAGAAGAATTAAAATAAGTAGAGAGAATTATTATTAATTTAATGAATATTAAATAGCATAAACTTAAGAAGAAAAATTAAAATAAGTGGAGAGGAAAATTCGTCCATTTTACATAAAAGCAGAAAGCCAAAAGATAGAAACTAAGTTTTAATAGATTTCTCATTAAGACGAAATCAAAAGTTACTAATCAGAGAGAAATTCCCTTAAGTGTGATTCAGCAAAGTCGATATTAATTTAAATTAGTATCTCTCAATTGAATTCAGTTATAAGTCTCCATTAATATCCCAAACTTCTAATCCAATATTATATAAGTTTCAAACACACTAATTATAGATAATTAACTGCAAACAGTTGGCAGATAACGATATAAAGATCATATCAGATTTATATCTAAAATTACAATTAATTTCTCACAAATAATTAGAAAAAAAAACCTAATAATAAATTATAAAAAAAATAATTTGTCTAATAGCCCACTGATCATTAGGGAAATTATTTATTTTTTTCAGTTTTGATTCAATTGCTGAAATTATTTCAAAATATTAATAAATTAGTAATGAATAAAATAAAAATAAATAATAAAAACAGAGATAAAAATTATATTTATAATATAATATTTTTATTATTATTATTATTATAGCAATGAAAATTTATAAGAAAAAGAGGAGAAAGAAAAAGAGGGAAAAGATGAAAAAAGAGAAGGGAGAAGAAAATATTAACATTAAGAGTGACAGAAATAATAATTTATCATCGTTCAAAAATCATCACAGAGTAAAATATTGAAAAAAAATAAGCGATAAAAATGCAAGAAGATGACAAAAAAGGTGATGAATTACGAGTTTGAATTTTTCTTCGTAAATTAACGCCTCGCAGCGTTATAAATCTCCATACCGATATTGATTACCATTTATCACAAGTTTTCACTCTACTAAATAAAAAATTTTATAAATATCCATTTTATTGTGACAAAT